AAGATGCTATAATTGTTTATACTTGTTTGGATTTTACAATATTTTTTATTTGATATAATAGTTTTTAGAATCAAAATAAATATGATGAACTTTTGAAATAGCTAATAATGATTTTGAAGATCTATAATTGTAAAAAGAGTGAACTTTTTATACTTCATCAATGGTAAATTTTAGCCAATTAGCGTAGCTTTATGAAAAAAAAAGATGGTTTGAACCTTCATTGAGTTAGATGTTTGAGAACGTTCTAAATGTAATAAATGTAAAATAGTAATGGATAGGAATATTAATAATACTCAGAAAATTTTTCTTTGGATTTTGCTATTTGTATATAGTGAATTTCACTATATATACACTAATTGATTGTTTTATATATAGTAATTGACTATAGTTGACTATTTATATCTAATGATCTATTGATTTGAATAATATTTTAAAACGTAATTATTATTATAATTGCTTTTTATTTGATTTTATAATTAAGCTCTTTAAATTTATAGATTTATAATAAATTCAATTGATATTTTAAGTCAAAGAATTCTTATAAAACATTTTATAATCCTTTATTAAGTTCATTTGTAAAACTATTTGCTAATTTGACTATAATGAATCCAAAAATAATATATACTGTAATATAATTTTATTTCAAAAATTTCTTGAAGCTAGGTTTTTTACGTTTTCAAAATTGAACAATACAGTAACTTTGGATCTTATCTCTCAAGTAATAGCATAAGAAAATTAGTCAATCTCAGTATTCTGTCTATTATAACTTTCTTTAAATGTCCCAAGCATAAATACATTAATACATTTATAAAGTTATTGTCTACTTTTTTTATTGTATCTTCGCAATATAATATCGGTAACTATTTACAGTTTCCTTTGGATCCTTTAAATTTATCGATATTTCCTCCGTTCTGTCCCACATTTTAAAATTGTATAAATAGATCCCGAATTCATGGTATGTTTATTATTTTTTTTGAAAGATCATTCCTATGTCCATATATGTCAAATAATGAAAACTTGAGATATTCTCATTAAAATGGTGTCATACGTATAGTACAGGAATTTGATTCCAATAAGTATTTATTATAATCATTCCTTGTTATTTGAAATCTAATTATTAATAAATTGCATTATGAACATTCACGATTTTTTATATGAATTTATTATAATAAATTACCATCAATTTTAAAAAGTGACTATAATAACCATAGAACGGAATATATCAATACTATTTTATGGATTCTTCAAGGTTACGAGTTATTATATCTAATTGACAAGTTTGTTCAAATGAAGTAATATGTCTAATAACAGCCTTCTTATTTGGTTCTTGTAATTCACCAGCTATTTAAAAATTAAATCAAAATTGGAATAGAATTAAAAAAAAAAAAATGAAATTAGAATTAAAAAATAATGTTTTTGACTTACCCAAAAATAATTCGTCCAATACATAATATGCCTTATCAAAATTATAAATTATGTCCAATTCACATACATTCCCAAAAAATTCATCAAGTACTTGAACATATCGATGAATTGCTTCTAGAATGTAAAGCTCGTTTTCATTCCAGTCTATGCCTGCTGCAAAATAAAGACTAGCATATCTCTTATATATCACCTATG